GGAGAGAATCGGAGGAGTAAGAGTGAGAAACACTCCTGAGTTGAGATAAGAACAGTTTAATAATTGAAATAAAGTAAAATAGTAATGAGAATAATAACAATATAATAATGATAATATTAATAACAGTATACAAAGCAAGTGATGCACAATGCAATTGCTCACCACCCGCCGACCGATTCCCAGCCTGTCCCTGAGCAGCGATCGCTGCTCCCCAGCCAACGCTCCCCAGTTATATACTGAGCATGACGTCACATGGTATGGAATAGCCCTTTGGTCAGTTTGGATCAACTCTTCTGGCTGTGCCCCCTCCCAGTTTCTTGTGCACCTGGCAGAGCATGGGAAGCTGCAAAGTCCTTGACTAGCATGAGCAGTAATCAGCAACAACTAAAACATCAGTGTGTTATCAACATTCTTCTCCTACTAAATCCAAAACACAGCACTATGCCTGCTACTAGGAAGAAAATTAACTCTATCCCAGCCAAAACCAGGACAAGGATAAAATATTGTTAGCATGATTTCGTAAGATACATCACATAAACTACTTCATTTCAAAGAAGTGATAGAGATACTGATTAAAAATTACTTAATTGGAACAAATCACAGTCATTGTCCCTAGCTTTGAGCTGTGAACTTGCAGCATTCTGAGTTTTTGGAAGAATATTGTTTTGAGGTATGGCAGCTGGCAGAAGGTTTCTCTTACAGAATCAGAAAATATCTCAAGTTGGAAGGAATCCATAAGGATCATCGAGTCCAACTCCCTGCTTCTTGCAGGACTACAATTTATGAAAAATTTAATGTGTTTTTAGTTTCATCTTCCTCAAAATTGTTTCTATTTCCAGATAGTTGTTTTCAGCTGTAGCTTACTAGTCTGCCCTGTTTTGTTGTGACTTGTGTTGTTTTCATTTTCTTTACTATGAACCTGAGTCAGAGTGGTTAAAATGATTGCTGAGGCCAGGCACAGGCCTGCAGAACTCAAGCCTTGGACTACAACTCAGAAACTCCTTTCTCTAGCACAATTTTATGTAAATTATGCCAGGCTTCTCTCTTTAAATGTTAGAATCTTAACCCAGTTATGCTTTGGTATAAATAAAATAGTGTGCTGGAAGACATACTGGCATATGAAAGAAGGGGGAGGAAGGATTTCTTTTCTACTAAATTTTATTTGTATGTCCTTGAATATAATAGGAAGTCACATTTGGTGTATTTTCTTTTGTTTTCCCTAAAGTGTTTCTCGAGAAACTCTGAGGAGCAGAAAGAGATCAGATTATAACCTCAATAAAGTGAATGCACCAATCCTAACAAACACTACGCTGAATGTAATAAGGCTTGTTGGTATGTAGAACAATGTAGTTTTCTATATGTGTGTTTTATTTTTATGCAAACCTATGGATTATAGCAAATACATTAAATGAATTTTAACGCTTTTACAAATATACCTAGTTGGGCCCTATTTCTACTCTTCAAAAATGTTAATAAAATAGAAATGAAGCACTAAACCAAAATATTTTTTAATTAAACAGACAAATTTGGTTATATCTTGTGAGTTATTTTTACTTTGAAGATTAATCTGCATGGATATATTGATTTTAACCAGTAGTGGTGGATTATTTGTCTAAAATATTGAATGCATAAAAACATTGGAGATAGAAAGGAAATAGATTAATGTTTTATGTTGCTAATGTGTCTTGATGGATTAAGTGCTTAATTTTAAAGTAGTATAGTTACAGAAGTAAGAACTTAAAGAAGTAAGAACTTAAATTGGGGTTTTTTTTCCCTTTCATTACTCAAATTCTCACACTCAGAATAACTATTTTTTCTACATGGTAGGCAACTAGAAGAAAAGCGCCCTCCCATACTGGTAACTTCAGTAATTGGAATGCATCCTAGTAATCCCTGGGGAGTTTAGGGAATCTCCATCCTTGGAGGTGATCAAGACGCAACTGGACAAGGCCCTGAGCAAACTCATCTCTCGCTCTGAGCAGGTGACCTCATCTCTTGCTCTGAGCAGGCTTTTGCACTAGATGACCTCTGGAGGTCCTTGCTAGCCAAAAGTTTTGTATGAAAACACTCCCCCAAGTTCTAGGTGTAACGGGATTGATTTTTTGTGCTCATGACTTCCATTTGATTATCTAGATAATTGTATGACAGCAATTTTCTGCTACTGACTTTCATTTTATTTATAGAGAATAGGAAGTAACTACCTAAATTTATCAGGTTAGGCAGAAGAGAGAGGAATTCTGTATGTGTTACATTAATGAAGTTTGTCTTCAGTGTTTATGTGTTTGGAAATGATTGTGGTACTTCAGAGTAAGCTGTTTTTAAAGAGACTACTCTGACACCTGGTTAGTACCTTTTGCTGTCTTAGAGAGCAGCATATAAATGAGAAATTAATTTTCTAAACAGTTTTCGCAGTTCTTTTTTCCTCTTGGAGCATCTACAATATAGACCTGAAATAAGAATTGAGATTATTCTGTCATAACTTTTCTGATATTGATCTGTGAGTTAGGTTGGAGAGATTTGTTTGCTACCTTCTAGAATGAGGTTTTGCTCTAAGAAAAGTTAGGATTGAATCTAGAAATCACACATGGCACTTTCATGCAAACCACTTGGTCTTCCCCCAGCCTCTGCCCCTGTCCCCCTGCCCTAACACAGTGTAAGAGTAGGTGGAGCTGCAGTTCTAGTTTTCCAATTTTACATAAGGAGTCTTTATATTTGTGGATTCTGGCCATAACCTCAAATGTAAACATTATTTGCAAAGCTCACATACATGCTTTTTCTCCCTTCTGGAATTACATTTAATTTTCAATATTTCTGCTGTTGGGGGTGTTTTATATTGTTTCTGTAATGGCTGATAATAGTGTTATTTGAAACATGGAATTGGAAAGGGACCTCCTGCAGCCCCTGCTACAGGCAGACATGTTATTTAGTACTGCCTGTAAATATGCTTGTTTTGAGCTCCAGCTTAAGAATACTTCTGTTCTGTTCCCACCACTCTATCTAATAGAAATTCTATTCCGGAAGCCTTATCAACTTCATGGTTAAAAAAAAAAAAAAAAATTATCCACCTATCTTCTGCCCACTTGATCTTATGCCAGAATAAACTTTTAAGTTTAACAGATCATCTTGTTCTTTGCATACTGGCCGGCTGTTTTTACAGAAAGCGATCCTATTTCTTCTCAGTCTTTGATTTGCTAAACTAAATGTGCCAAGCTTTTTCATATCCTCTGTATTTTTCTGCCAGAAGCTTAAGTCCCCTACTTTCTTACCAGTTCTTTTTCTGCTCTTGTTATAGACTTATCAAAATCATGTGCAATACTTTGGATGAGATCTCACTGCATTGTGTCACTGCTGTATAGCAGCATCCTGGTCACAAGTTGCCTCCCTTTTGCACCTCTTTGGAGTTCTCACAGCTTCCTTGTACTGGCAATTCAGTCCATCTGTGATGAGCTTGTGCAGCCAGCAGGTCCTTCCCTTTCCCAGTTTTTTTCCAACAGATGAGCTGCTAGTTTATAGTAGAAGGATGCATGTTTTTAATTAATTGGTCCCCACATGCATGGCTTTACATTTTGTACTACTGAATTTCATCCAATTTTTGTTACAGCAGTCATCAAGGTCCTCCAGTTCCTCCTGTACATTATGTCAATCCTTTTCTGTTTTGATGGTGCCTCCTTATTTTTTTCCATTATCACACTCTTATTTTTGTGCCAGAGTCATTAATGAAAATATTAAAGAAGAGGCCAGTTGCTGGGAACTCCACTAGTAGCTTTTCCAGATACCTCCCTTTTCAACACACTCCATTCTGCCTTCCCTTTTATTAAACCCTCATTCATTTAAAAAACTCTAGCTTCACTTGTTTACTGTGCAATATTGTTAAATTAATACTTTGACTAAATCTTAATTTTGCCTCCTTATTTCTGCTTCTGTCACTTCCATACTTTCTTCAAAACTTGAAGTCCTGCATCCTACAAATTAAAGCAGTGGATCAATAGTTGCTTGGATGACTATTTTCCCTCTTCTCTCTCCCTTTCCCTCAAAAAAAATATGTTTTTATTTGCTGTTTTTCTATCGTAGCAGTACAACCCATGCCTTGACTACTTACTGCACATACAGGTTATTACACTGACCACCAGACCGGTGATTTCACATCCATTTTTATTTATGTCCTGATTCCTTTGCTCCTGTATCTTGACTGTTTTAAGGTCTTTTCCAGCTCATTCTCAGTGTGGCTGAAAGTGGCCAGTTCAGTTCTATTAGTCACCCTGTTCCCCTTCTCCTCATTTTTCTCACTGTCAATATCATTGTCTCCAGGGAAAACCAAGGCAAACTATTAATTCTTGCTTTCGGGCTGTCTTGTTTGTCTACAGTTTCTGTCCTGTCACGTCCCCCTGGTTTAGTTTGCTTTTGTTAGTCTTCTGTAATTGGAAAACTCCTGACTTTTACCATCTTCGGAAAATTTAGTTTTGGAAAGACTTTTGGTACTTTTAGCTCTTAGTGTGACTTCCTGAGCAAATAGGTCTGGTTTTCCCTTTTGTCCTTGTCATTCTTTCCTCCTAATTTTTTTTCAGTTTCTCATGTTTCTAATATGCAGTGACCCTGCCTCACTTTCACCTTAATTTGTATCTTTTTTTGAGAAATATCTACCATTTGATATCATAAATGAAATGGTTTTTTTTGCACCATGTTTCTGTTAGATGTAAACTGCATATTACACCTCTGCCACAGAAGTTGAAAATGCCTTTATCTTTTGTCATGACTTTTGGCCTTAGCATACAAATACTTCATTCACTTCTACCAGACAGCATCCCCAGGGGCATCAGACACATTTCTTTAACTAAGGGTTAATGGCTACAGAAACAAGAAACAAGTAAAATACCACCATTTAGCCAGGCTGTCTGATTTATTAGTTTTTCTTCCCTTCTTGTCTCCCCTCTTGTCCCTTGAATCATCCCTATAGGATGCGAAGATAAGCACATTGTTGCGAGGCAGATTTGGCTGGGTGTGACACTAGGTTGTAGGAGATCCAGGTCTGATCCAGTACCTTGTATTATCCCCTTGCAGACAGGGATGCCGTGGAGCATGCCTGTCTTTTAACAGCAGTCTCTGCTAATGCCATGCAAGGTTCCAGTTTGTCTCTCACTGTCTCAGATTTTTGGCTAGGAAAATGCCGTGGTACTTAACACTAATTTCAAGGAGTATATCTGAGATGGTTGTCTAGGATCCCTTCGTTATCAGTGGAGAACTGTAGGTAACTCCAGAAGATGATAGTTTGTTGGCTGTCCTGGATGTTTTTGCCTGCATATCATCGCATAGATATCTTAGCACTTTTCTTCTGTAGCAGCTTGCCCTCTGCACAGGAGATTTAGACAACCAGCGTGGGCTAAGGGTCTAGTTTTTAGATAAAGTTGGGCAAAGTGAATTTCATGTGCAAGACTGGCAATGTGGCACCTCAGAAAATAAGCAGGGGCCTAACATAGTACAGGGGGCACTACAGGTATGTCCTATCTACAGAAAGCCTGTACTCTTTTAAAAAGTTCTATTCCTTGAAAATAAGGCTCTATTTTAAGGCACATTTGTTTTGGTAGCAGTAATGTGAGTACTTAAGCAGTTTTTGTCCCTGCTACATTTTGTCACTGGTATGCCTGCCTCCTGTATGTTGCATCAGGATGACTTTTGGCAGATCTAGATCAGCTCCCTGACATTAGTTAGAAACAAATCATAAAGGAAACTAGGTTTAAAAAGGGAAGTCTAGAGTGAGGTGAAGATGCAGCTTTAAATTGTCTAATCAATTGCTTCCCTTCTTAGGAAGGGGTGTTACGCAAGTAGTAGTACTCACTGAATGGGTATAACAGTGCTCATAACCCATTTTGAACTATTTCTGTGTGCTGTATGCTTTGTATGGAGGCTAGATGAATAAAACAAAGTGTGGCTTAATGTATATAAACTACATAAATGAGTTGCTGTGTATAACTGAAGTGTGAGCTGCTATAACTTCATTTCACTTGAATTTCAAGTGAATGATTAGATTTATCTGGTTTTCCCTCAAGTTTATAAGCCAGGTAATTATTTTTCTGTTTCCAGTATAAAGTAACCATTAGATTAATTTATAAGGTTAATTTTTTCCTGTCAAGCCATTGCATGTTGACTTAAAATGTAAAGGAAGAAAGAACCTGTGTTAAATCTGTATGGAATATTTTGACCTAGGTTCTATACAACAACAAGAACAATTGATGACTGTGCCATTGTATATACTGCTTGGGTCATTTCTTATTTTAATTAAGATAATTCTGACTTAGGAAATACCCATTAAACTATTTCTTAGGTTGGGTTTTTTTAATGCCTTTTTTTTGCCTTATTTTTCCTCTTGTGAATAGTTTTTGGGAAGAAACTCTTTGATTTTTCTTTGTTTAAAACCCATTAACTTCTAAGAAAATAATAACGGTGATGACAAATCTCACAGCAGAAATCTTGTAGCTGGAGTGAGTGACTGGTCACATAGCATAGAACCTCATGGGACTTAAAAAAACCCAAATCATACAGTCTTTCAAAATGATATAATTACAGTGGGCTTTTCAATTTTTCCTTCAGTGGCATTTTAGCTCCTAATATATGTCATAGGAAGCTGCATATTTGGAATTGTGAGGCTCCCTAGGAAATGATTTTACTAATGACCATATATATACTAAAACTCAAATATGTGTTATTGAGGAGGTTGTGTAGTTATTTACCTTTTTGGGTTTAGTGATCAGTTTTATATAGATTAGTTTGAGAGAGAGTACTCTCACATTACTGTCTTTAAGGACAAAAGAAGCGTTGGAAATAATACTTCAAAAGAAATCTGGCAAATGTTCAGCCGTTTTAGCTGTTAATCGAAAACCTCTAGAAGGTCAAGGTACTTTGAGTTGTTGAAACTCTAAGCAGTGTTTTCAAGTATTTCTGGAAGTTTCTAGCACAGCATGGGTTTGGGCTGTTAGTGCTGTTTGGAAGTGTTCTCGTACACCCCTTTTCACCCAAAATAGGAACTTTAGTGCAACTAGGTAACAACATATAGAAGTTAAAAGTTGGTGTCCTGTTGGAGAGAGCAACTAGGAGGAAATGTTCTTGGAACACTTGTTGTGTCAAGATGCTGAGTGATATAGTAATAGAGAAATGTTCTTGGCATCAGAAGATTTTTATAGGGACAATACTTGGGCAGTGTACAGTGTAGAGCCCTTTGGAAAAGCATAAGATACTGCCTGAGAGATTACCTTCAATATTCATGCCAACTGCACAGATATTTGGAAATCTAACTGTCCAGAATGTGACACATCACCCTTATACAGTGCATGGGTTGCAGGCGCGTTTAGAAATGTGTTTATCATGGAGTAAGTGGAAAAAATCAGCCTGTGGCAATACAGAATATTCAGAAAGCACATATGGAGGTGACAGCTGCTTTGATAAGGGTACCATTCTTTCCCAAACATCCAAAAATTTCCACATAGGGCTGTGCTAGAATTAGCTGCATTTGGTTTTCCCTTTTGGAAGACAAATAGAATTTTTTAAGTCTGCCTTTCAGTTTGTTCATAATGGTGTAGATCAAAACATTGATAATTAAGCATAGAATTAACAGTTGGTCTAAACTGCCAAATATTAAGTATTGCAACCTGTGTCAAATCTCCAAAAATAACAAAATACATGCTTGCGTATGTTAGCAAACTGGGACACAGATGCATAATATTCAAGGAGGGAGTCTAAGCTAGATAGAAACCTGGAAAGTAGCCATGTCAGGTTATTACTTGATTCTTACCATACTGTGATATCATCTTACCACGTATGTAGCTGTGTCATGTATTTGTGAAATTAATGTTATCTTTACTGACCTACACAAGTAATTGCTTAAAAAAAGTCAAATAACTCCCCCCTGATCCTAGCAACTCATTTTGTTTCTTTGTTACTCAGTTTCTCTGCATAAAACAACAATTTCTTTATCAATTAATAAATTACTTTGGGCACAGCATTAACTTGAAAAACAGTGTTGCTGACAACAGGAGACAGAAACTATTTTAGCACCCTCATGTAGTTTTTTTCCAACCTGTCACATCAAAACAAGTCTGGAATATGACGATTTGTTAAAGGATCTGCTATATCCTGCATGCTGGGTGGACTGCATTTATGTTTTGGTTCAAAAATTGCTGTCTGTTACTATAATAACTGAAAGCTTATTACATATTCTCTATGTTTTTGAGATCCTAATAGGACAAGCAGTATGTTGCTTTTGAGCTAGCCAGCAGGAAATGTGAGGCATCTGCAATATTGGGGTTTTCATTAAGTACGCTTCTTGTATGACTCTATGAAAAGAGCCATGCCCTGTGCTGGAAGACAAAATAACTAAAAACTATAGGCCCTGTGAGCTAGACCTGTAGGGAAGAATTTCTTTCTGAGTCCAAATCCTATGATCAGTTTGACTCAGCTAACATAGAGGTGAAGGTCCTGAGGTTTCTTTAAAATTTCTTAAATTTTTATTTTCCCAAGTCAAATATGCAACAGCAGAGAACAGGAAGGAAAAGAAGGAATTATTATTCTTCCTGGATGTGCCAAGGTCCCAGCATCCTCCTCCTCTGTCAGTCTGTCCCTCTAGAAACATTTCAAACATACATCTTAAAACAATTTGGGTTTCTTAGCCAAGGATAAAAAGGAAGGAGAGCAGGAAATGCTATGTTGCTGATGTGAAACACATTATTTCTAGAGTTGTTGGATGAAATCCAATCTTGGGCATATAACTTTTATACTGTGCTTTTCTGTTGCTTGAAAAATATCTATATGTGTGTATATATAAACACCCATTAATGCATAAAATCTTCAGTGGCTCTATGTATCATTTGCTAGAGACTACTTTTGGGATTAGTATTTTTTGGCTAAATGAAGCTGAAACTTGTAGAGGATCCAGAAAGTTGTATATTTTGAATTTGGTACCAGAAGGCTGAGAATTGTTCAACACATTTTGATATGGATTAACATCCACATTTGGAGCAGTCTTGAGGCATTTGTGGTGGCTTAGTCATCATACTTAGCTTTGGTTTTAAACATCCCAATCTCTAAAATATTACTAAGTTGTTCTTGATCAGTATTCAAGGCTATATAATAAACTTTGTAAAGCTGATTTTGAGTTTGTCAAACTCAGTGCTGTCTTTGTAGCACTGACGCTGAGGAAACTGATCTTCTGTATTTAATTTTTAAGGGAAATACATGCAGATGATGAATATTCTGAAACCAATTGCCTTTGATGTGATCCACTTCATGTCCCAGCTCTTCGATTACTACCTGTATGCAGTCTATACATTTTTTGGCCGAAATGACACGGTAGGTAGAAACATTATTAATTTCCAAGTATCATTGTACACACAGAATGAGAATACAGAGGAGATCTCTTTACTTAAAATACTACCTAATATGTAATCCCCAGAAAAATTAGTGGCAACAGAATGGATTTGAATGCAGGAGTAAGAAAAGGCTGATTAGATCAGCAATGAGGGGAATAAGCACTGGGAGCATCATTATCACTGGGACATGAATCCTATTATGCTGTGAACAGATTCTGTAATCTTTTTCCAGCAGTATTTTGAAAGGGAGGAAAGACAACATGAAACGCCTAAAAGTAGTGGCAGAAAGTGGGGAGCAAAGGAGCAGTCTGTGGGAGGAGGGTGGTGGTTTGGAGTCTAGAGAGTATGAGTTGATTTAATTTTTCTGTATGTATTTCTCTAACTTAGATAAGAATAGCAAAAGGAGGAGGAGAAGGGGGCGATGAAAGTTAAGTAGTAACTCAGGTTTAAGAGGCTTGAAATACACTTTTACAGATCTAATATTCTTTTGTCAAACATTGTATTAATGAAAATTGGGTTTTTTGAGTGATCTTGTAGTGGAAATAAATGCTTGCTGGCAATGTCTGTACATAACATAGATCAACTTTCAACAGAATTGTCTTAAAGCATTTATGAAAAGCTGCGTGTAAAAACAATTTTCTCTTCTCTTGGCCCCTAAATTACTCCACAAGTAATAGTATCGTGGGGTTCCAAATTCATCATCATCTGTTGGCAAATTGTAATGGATTTTCAGACTCAACGTATGGTTCTAAGTGGTTTTGAGCTGTTCTCTTTGGCAGGACAAATGTATTTGCAATTTGTTTGTGTTTAGAAGTTGGGTGGTTTGGGGTTTTTTTTTTTTGTTTGTATTTTATTAAGATAATTGATTTCCATTGGCTTAGTAAGCTGCTCTGGTATTCACATTGTGTTGCATTTCTTTTTATTTTTTTTAACCTCCCGTTTTGTGTTTTTAAAGCTCATACTGAGTTCTTCACTCTCTACTTCTAACAGAGAACAGTACAGTGCTAGGCAGGTAAACATTATAGCAGATGGGTGGTAAAATTGTGATGTTTTTGTAGTATGCCTGATTTTTGTTTTGACAGATGATTTGCCATGGGAAACATAATGCTTACAAAGGGTCTATAAATATAATAAACCCTCTTGTAATGCTGCTTAAATGTCCTCACTCCCCATAGTGTTTATAAACCTTTAGAAAGGACAGATGGGTGATGGTATGTGATTTAGACCACTGACAGTGTTCCTGTTTTATTTGCAAAATAGCATCAGATGGGATTCTTAAAAGTATGCTGGTAATATAACTTCCTTAAGTGGTTGAAATTACTGTGAATATTGTGCTTATATTGTGAGTTAGTACACACATAAGGAGAGTGATTAATTGTACAGAGTTCATTGCCAGTTCAGTGAAAACCAAGGCTTTAAAATATGCATGTTGAGTTCTGTGTCCGGTCACGATGCTAAGTCATTGCTCTTTCCAGACCTCTTTAGAATGATTATCCTATGTAGTCAGTATTTGGCTTTCTTCACTGCCAAAAGTTGCACACCGTTGTAACCAGAATTGCTCTTTCAAAACGTCTTTAGTTTGTGGGATGCAAGTTAAGGCTGCCTTTCCTCCTTATCTCAAATTATGGAGCAACCTAACAGAAAACTACAAGGAATTGCCTATATTTAGTATCTACTCACTAAAGAGTAAGACATTCATGAACATGCCATAGAGTAGTCTTCCTTAGCAGAATAAATTTGAGGTGAGTTTTAATTTTTTTTGACAAGACATAGTAATTTGTAAACCAATGGCCATTCTTATGGAAAACACTTTATTTTTTTTTTAACTATAAGAGGTTATGTAAAATTGGTGATAAGTAAAATTATTCTGTGAATTATCTAATGCTCTGCTTACTAGCCTTACTAGGTCATCAGTTTGTGAAATTTAAATATCTACCAATTTGCATATAGAAATAGCAAAAACTTCCACGAAGCGAAGCAATTATACTGATGAGTGGCATGTTCTGTGTGAAGTCACGAGGTTCTGTCCTTGTGGAAGAATGCTGAGCAACAATCTTTTGGGGGGTTCTTTGATTTTTTTTTTTTGTTTGTTTGTTTGTTTGTTTGTTGTGTTTTTTTCCCCCTCATACATATGGATGCACAATTCTGGTTTCAGGCTGTAACTGGTTGCCTGATAAATCTGGAATTCTTGATACATAATGTTTTATGGAAAATTAAGTTTGTTTTTACATTCCTTTTCATTCAGAAATGTTTCAAATGTGAAATTGCCATTTTTAAGAAAGACATATATCATTATCAAGTAAGTAAGTGAAAGTTACTGATAGCTGTTGAAAGTTAGTAATTGAAAGGCAGAAAGAGAAAGAATTAGCGGCAGATTGTGTGATGTGTAGTTTTGATGGTGTAGGTGCAAATTTCTTAAAATGAAATTTAATGGCTGAAACTTGCAAATTAATTTTATATATAAATA